TGATCATCAGATCATCAGATGGATAGAGATTTTGTATATAGGTATCACTCAGTAATTAGGCGTACTAACACAAGTTGAAAGCTTTTGGCGCCACAAATCTTCAATTTACCTTCAAACTCCAGTTCAAATTTAATGATTTTTACGAGCGTTGCACTTCTTTTCTAAAACCATATGGTATACTTATGCTTTTACAAATCTGTGACTATAAATCGCAAAATGGGTATAAGTGACAAAGAAGAAAAAGCTGTATTATGTCAAATAAAAGGAAAATCGTAACCGTAACAGGCATTAGAAATAAATCCAAGAGACTAAGTGGTAGGTATTTCTATACAGGGTGTTATTGAAAGGTACGTACAACAAAATTGACAGTTCTTCGCGAAGTCTAAGAAGTCTAAAAAACTTATTTTGTGTTGTCAAAATTATAAGGGGAAAATCAACCCTTATCCAATCTTTTTAGACACTACTGAAGGATAAATAGGTAAAATTAATTTATTTTAGTAAATCCTAGCAACTGTAACAATAAAAGTTTTGTCAAAACTAAATGTTGCTATAGAAACGAGAGATGATCTTTTTATCAGAGGCGTACAACGAATTTGGACATAAATTTTAATAATTTTTATCTCTAAAAGGAGAACATTTTTACCTGAACTTTTTTTAAGTTTTAGCATTCATACTTCGAGACCAATTGCCGATTTTATTTTGTACGTACCTTTCAATAACACTCTGTATATTAACATAAGAAACAAAACACAACAAAACAGTGCTAACAGACTTAACTTTTATTTTTTGTACATTTTTTTTTTCAAAAAATCTTTAAAACAAAACAATGGAACCATTTTTAAGAAGATTATAAGAACTAAAAAAAAGATAGTTTAATAATTAATTAATAGAGTATCTCCAAGTGTTCAGTATCATATTAAAGATTCTCGCTTTCACTGTAAACAGTACAAAACCAATCACCTTTCAGTTTTCGCTTGATATTGGCAGATTTCTTTAGTACTCATTCCATTCGACATCTTGTTACAAATTCTGCAGTGCAAGTTCTTGATTTTTTTCGCAGTTATCAAAAAACGAAGTAGACCGGAATAACCGGGTGCTGCAAAATCTTTTTGGACTAAAGATACATGCACTTCATTTTAAAAAAATTCTGATTTGATTAATTTTGGCTCAGTAGGTAAATGGCAGGTAGTATATTTAATAGTGGATTCGTAAGATAAACCAATCCATTCAAAGATCAACTTCTTTTTTTCATAATCTGATTTTAAACTGTATTTTACTGGAACCCCAAAAGTTTGTTTTTTTTTCTTTTTACTCCCACAGCCGTAGACAAGTGACCTTTAGGGCGCCCACAACGAATCATTTTTGAAGGAAGTTTTGTTGCTGTTAATTCAAACAAAATTCTTCATTTAGGTTGGTTTTGGATGATGAAACAATAGTTCTTTTTGCCGGAGTAGGCTCGTTCATTTTTTGTAAAGAGCAACTAGGTAAAATATGACATTTTTTACTTTGATTCTACGAGATGGTATTACTAGTAAATTTCTGTCGGTAGACTTCACTGTTAGCAAATATTTTTGCAAACGTTAATTGAACAGCATTCCCTTTTCTATTCTTTCCTCATTTGTCTTTGTTGCAGTTTCTTGGTGTTCATTATCCTGATGTTTACATTGTGTACCACTGCAATTTTCATATTGCTTTCGAGTATTTTCTATTAGTTTTTTGTTGTTATTGTTTATTTCTTCCAATGAATTACTTTGATTCAAGTCTTCAACGTAAATAATCTGTTCTTCCACATTTTTTCACAGTGTGATTAAACATTTTCCTCTGTGAAATTCATTTCAAAATCTTCAATACCTGTATCAAGCACTTCGTTTTGTTAGTGACTGCATTTTCAGACGAACTTGCCAGTTCACATATAAGTACCTCTATATTCATTTCGTAATAATTGAGAAGCAATTTGGCGTCTTGCATTTTTTGCTTATATTTTTCAGTCCCGAACTCGGATATAACAACAGCAAGTCTGGAACATAATTTTGCTGCTTATTCATATTTTTTGTTAGCTCTAACAGCTGTAGGTGTTGGAGATGCGAAATCCAATATTGTTACTTGTTGGCATGCATCATTTGCGTACAGATTTTCCATATTGCTAGACGCTCTGTGATAACTTAAATAAAAATTCTTCTTCCAACGATTAAGCATCAAATTTTCGTCAGACGGATTCAAACCCACTTTTTCTCTTAAAGCCAAAATGTGGCAACATGGCCATAGCATTTGGTTAGGAAGCTGCAGTCACATTTGTCATTTTTCGTTTAGTTCTAGGTTTTCCTTAATTTTGCATCTTACCATAAAAGAAAATTGCTGCAGTAAAGATTTCCAAGCAAAAGGAGTAATTAAGTTGTGATATTTCCATTGATAAGTATCCCGTTTAAATTTAATTATTTCCTGGTTAAGAAGTAAATCGTGAACTTCTTTCTCTTTCAGTTGGTAATGAAGATAACACCTTCTTGAAATCAGTGAAAAACTGGTCCAAAGAAGACAGTTTTTCAATACCTGCGTTCAGCATTTGATTAATATTTTCTAATCTACTGGTTGCATTGTTTCCAAATGTTAGGCAGTGATGACGATATGCACAGACCCACTGCTCCTTTATGTCGTGCCAATTTTTCTCATAATATGCCGTAACTTTGGGAAAATTGAAACTTATTAAATTCTAGTTCTATATACTCTCCGTCACTATGGCTGTATGTTATCCTTGTATCAAATTCAGGCACTGTTCTCTGTGGGCAGACGAAATCTTCATTTTATCCACAGTAATTTCCCTGCGAAACGTTTTTAGAGTGTAGTATAAGCATAATAACAGCCTAGCATCTGGAAATTCCTGATTGAAAATGTGATGGTCCTTCATATTCTTATCAGTGAAAGTAGTTTTTGTTGCCTCCCAGTTTGCATTTTCTTTTTTGAATAACTGAGTCACTTCGCCTAAAGTAATTTTGTCCTCATCAATCAACAAAAAAGAACATATAATTTCAATATGTCCATTTTCATCAACAGTGAGTACAACGACATTCTCAGGTTATTGAGTTTGTAGGTGCCATCGCACATTAATATTTCCGGAAAGTACTTGAACATTTGTTTCATTGTCTTACTTTGGTAGTAAATTGCTCTTAGATTTTTGTCGCTATTTCGGAAAATTTTTACTGAGTTTCCTTCTTGAATAAGTTTCGGGATAATCTCTTCGAGTTTGTGTTTAATGGGCTTTAGCAATTGACTTTATATTTCTAATGTATTTCAGGGTTACGATTTTGTTTGTTTTTGACATAATATAGTTTTGTGCTTCTTTCGAATTGGCTTTCATTTGCATAAGATGCACCATTTCTTCCTTGTCGCTTGGATCCAGTTTGCAATTTCTAGCCATAAATCTGTAAGAGGATTCTTCAAGTCTGTGATTATGCATTTCTGTAATGCATAACTGATGATTATCATTAATACTTATTTTTATACTAGCTGGACAATTATCTTGCATCGTTTTGTGTCTTCTTTGATTTACTCTTAAAATGTTTCCCTCTTTTGGAGCATGCATAATCAATTTTATAATATTGCACGTCATCACTACAGTTAGCGGCCTGATTCTTCTTTTCTTCGGAAATTGTTACACTAATTCTTTTGTAAAAATATATATAATTCATGTCTTCGTAATTTTTTAAAGTTAGCGCCACTCTTCGTAAGTTTCGAAAGTTTTTCCGACTGTTAACATATTGTAACTTTATTATTTTGTTATAGAAAAGATGTGCAGTACTTGTAAAAATTATTAAACTCGATCTGGAATGTCTGGAGTTTGAAGGTACGTTGGGAACATTTGTGGCAGCAAAAGTTTGAAGTTATGCTTATATCTGCAAAGCTATGATTGCACTTACGTTAGTACACGTAATTACTGAATGATACTGATATACATACACATACCTTTTATCTATTTGATGATGGTCACTAAATATTTAACGAAATTAAATTGAAAAATAGGCACAGTCAGAATCGTTCGTGTGTGGGCGTACAATTGTGTGTACGAATAGCGCTGTAGTTATTCGTACACACTGTATGTATGAATAGCTCTGGTACTATTCGTACATACTGTGTGTACGAATAGTCACTCCGTAAAATATAAGTACCCATTAGGTTGTTACTTGACTATTTCGTGAAAATTTAAAGATAACAAATATCCATTATTTTCTCTGAAATATTCTCTGAGACTGATCATAGGATTGTGTGCAATAGATTAATATTAGAACTCTTAATTAATAAAAATAATATTATTATTTATATTCTATGTGTATCAGAATCTTCAAATACACACAATGGCATACAATATATCTGTCTCGTCCCCAACACAATCTTTATTTAGTTTTAGTTTAATTTGTATCGCTTGGTGCAGTACTGCGCCCGCAACCCTCGCTACACTGGTGGCCGATCTATTGCGGCCCTTTTTGCTTTTGGTGACCGCTTGAGTAGCAACAAGTCGAGTGGACTGGACGCGCATTGTGAAGTCGTAGTCGTACCGGCAGCGACATAACCCGCCATCTTGTTGTTGATCCCGCTTTATGATTCCCGCTATTGTTATCACCCCGCTATTGTAGTACCCGCTCTTATTATAACCCCGCTATTGTTGTACCCGCTATTGTTCTAACCCGCCATTGTTGTACCCACTATTGTACCCGCTATTGTACCCGCTATTTTACCCGCTACCGCTATAACCCGCGTCAGGGCATAACCCTATTTCGCGCACCCCCATGCCGAGTGCTTCCGCCAGGAGCACCCCAGCCATCACCTCCAGGCCAAGATCACTACGAACCACAGCTCGGAAAGTCCAACTCATCTCACTCTGGTAAGCTACATATTCATTTTATGGTCCTTCGAGTTAGCCGGATTAGCGAGGGTTGTGTTAGAAGTGATTAGGTTTTTGCGCGTTGGTTTTTCTGCTAATCTGACATTGTCGGGTTTGTATTTGAATCATGGCCAATTCGGAAAAAATTAAAAAGCAGCAATTGCTCAGACAAACCCCTTACAATAGGGTAGTCGAAATGAATACCTTAGCAAAACAGGCCGAACATAACCTAGATGACCGTGATAGCTTCGCAGTAGCAATCGGTGATCTTGAAAAACTGTGCGCGGATTTTTATCGTTATCACAACGCTATCATCGGCTTGATTAACGCAGAGGAATTTAATGGGGAAGATGATATTCGAAAAGTCTTCGACTCCATGGTTCTAGCTATTAAGACCATTCATTTTAAAGTTCAAAAGGCAGCCGAGACCAGTGAGCCCCCTTCGGTTGCTTCCCCCCTTAAATCTAATATCAAGTTACCCAAAGTGGAATTACCTAGCTTTTCTGGTGATATTACGACATTTGTGCCGTTCATGGACATGTTTAATAATCTCATTCATAAATCGAGCGATTTAACCGCCGTAGAAAAATTTAATTATTTGCTTTCCGCGTTGAAAGGAGAAGCTAGAGCGCTAATAGAAAATCTACCAGTCACGGATAATAATTATTTAACAGCATACTCCGAACTCCATAATCGTTACAAAAATGATAGACAAATATTGCAAGCCCATTGGATTGCGATTGTTAACGCACCCAAGATTCATTCGGAGCATCCGCAGGAATTGCGGACACTTATAGACACGTTCTCAACTCATTTGAAAGCTATTCGTAATTTTACCCTTCCTATAGATCTAGCGGATTTTTTATTATTCAATGTAATGCATCAAAAGCTAGACTCGTCATTGATAACGCGATTCGAACTTCACCACAATTCGAAAGAAATTCCCACTTATCATAAACTGTATCAGTTTTTAGAACACCAATGGAGCGCGTTAGGCAATGCCATCCCAGTTAAACCTCAACAGAAAAAGTTCGGTCCACATAAGCCTTTTACGCCACAACCGCGATTTACCACGTCTTTAGTGGCGAAGTCAGAGTCTGTAAAGTGTCCTGTTTGTACCTCGCCTCATTTAATCTACAAATGTCTGGAGTTTCTCGGGAAATCTCCCCGTGAACGCTACGCCATTTCTAAGTCGAAACACTTGTGCCTCAATTGTCTTAGTAATTGTCATGTGAGTAAGGCGTGCCAGTCTACTCACAGTTGTCGTCACTGCGGTAAGAGGCATCATAGTCTATTACATTTCGAAGCGTTTCCGAGCGGCGATGGTCAGGTGCCGAATTCTGCGGAAGCTACCTCCATCAAACCAATGAGTGGAGTTGGATTTGCATCGCCAGCAATGAGAGTTTTATTGGCTACCGCTTTAATAGAAGTTCGCGATAACGGCGGAAATTCTAAGGTTCTTAGAGCGCTGCTGGACTGTGGCTCACAAAGTTCCTTCATTTCGCAACAAGCCTTTCATTTGCTAGGTCTGTCTAGACGACATACTTCAGGTCTGGTGCAAGGTTTGGGTCAAGTAGTTACGGCAGCCAATTTAGGTTCAGTGATAATAACGTTTCGACCGGTAGGCCAGTTAACGCCCACTTTCAAGGTAAATGCGCTAATTTTACCCAAGATCTGTGATGACTTGCCCTGTGTGTCACTTTCGGCCGAACATTGGTCTCATTTTCGTGCCAAGCTACCGCTCGCAGATCCTTCCTGTGTCTCTCGTGCAGGTATCGATATGCTTCTAGGAGCGGATGTCTATTCACAATTGCTTAGTGGAGAGGTGGTTAAGGGTCAGAAGGGAGAACCAGATGCGCTAGGGACAGCCTTGGGCTATGTATTAGTAGGGCAACATACCGCTAGTACTGCTAATACGAATCTTCATTCCTTTATTACCACGGTTAACACATGTTGCGATTTAGAAAGATCTATTCAGAAATTGTGGGAAGTGGAAGCAGTTCCTCGCTTACAGACTTTGTCTCCAGATGAGGAACTCTGCGAGGACATTTACAATAAAACTTACACTCGCACCGACAAAGGTCGGTTCGTCGTATCTCTACCGTTTCGCGATACCCCGCCCACTTTCGAAGACAGCCGGTCAATCGCAATCAATCGGTTCCTTCATCTGGAGGCCAAACTGTTAAAGCAACCGCAGTTGTATGCGCAGTATTCTAAGTTCATGCAAGAATATTTAGAGTTTAATCATATGGAACCTGTTCTTCCTCCGGATGACACCATTGCCACTTATTATATCCCACACCATTGTGTACTTAAGCCAGCCAGTTTAAGCACAAAACTGCGCGTTGTGTTCAACGCGTCCGCACGATCCTCTAATCAAACCTCCTTAAATGAGCATCTTCTTATCGGTCCCAAACTTCAAAGGGATATTTGCACTATCTTATTGAATTTTCGCCTCCATACGTACGTCTTGACTGCCGACATCAAAATGATGTACCGCCAAATCTTAATCAATCCGGTTCAGTGCAATTTTCAGAGGATTATCTGGCGTTTTACTCCTGAACAACCTATTCAGGATTATCGTTTAAAAACTTTAACGTATGGAACCTCGCCCGCTCCCTATCTGGCCATTCGTACTCTGTTAAAATTGAGCGAGCAGGATGGTTCGTCGTTTCCATTAGCCGCTGCCGCCCTCCAGACGGACACCTACATGGACGATATTGTTACTGGTAACAATTCTTATCAACAGACTTTAAAGTTGAAAGATGAACTTATTGCACTCCTTAAGGGTGGAGGATTTGAACTTCGCAAATGGGCTACCAATGATAGTTCGCTTGTCTCGGACCTTCCTCCGTCTCATGTTTGTCTTGATGCCATTAATATACGAGAGGAAGATCGTAATGACACTCTTAGAATCTTGGGATTGCAGTGGAATCCCGTATCCGACGCTTTCAAATTTACAGTTCATATTCTTCCCGGCAACTGCACTAAACGCCATCTTTTATCCAGTCTCGCACGCATTTTTGATCCTCTTGGCATATTGACTCCGCTTACTTTTTTCATAAAACATTTAATTCAACGCATCTGGACTCTCAAGTTAGCTTGGGACGACGCCCCGCCGAATGATATTTTACGCGCTTGGAATATCTTCGCTAGGGATCTTTCCGTTCTAAACGATTTTTCGTTACCGCGCCGCCTCCTTTGCGATAATTTCCTCTCGTCTGAAATTCATGGTTTCGCTGACAGCTCCGAGAAGGGCTATGCCGCCGTAGTTTATTTGGTTTTTAGGTTCGCCTCGCTTGAACCACGCACGCAGTTTGTTTGTGCTAAATCTAAAGTAGCACCGCTCAAGAAGATTACGATTCCAAGGCTGGAACTTTCTGCCGCAGTATTGCTAACACGGCTCCTCAATCTGGTTTGCCGAGTTTACAAAGACAAAATTCCTTTTAATCGCCTATGTGCTTGGACAGACTCCCAGATAGTTCTAGCTTGGATCAAATCTTCGCCGCATCGTTGGAAGACATTTGTCTCCAATCGCGTATCATTTATTCAAGAGCATCTGCCCTCCTCGTCGTGGTACTATGTTCCTTCCGGTCAGAATCCAGCTGATCTTGGGTCTAGAGGGGCATACCCTCAAGAGTTACTGGTTAGTTCCCTATGGTGGGCGGGACCCCCTTTTTTGAAGTCCGGCACGCCTCTCAATAATAATCTGACGCCTTCTGTCCCTGTCTCCATTCAGGACGAAGAACGCACGCAATCGTGTAATGCGATAGTGACCACCTCTTTATTGGACGATTTAGTCAATACGCACTCATCACTGCCGAAGATTATTCGCATTCTTTGTTATGTACGCCGCTTTATTCGTGGAATGACTAGACCTACAAAAAGCACCCCCCCGTATATCACTTCATCGGAATGGTCCGAAGCCTTGATGACGGTGGTCCGACATATACAAGCTTTCCATTTCTCTAGGGAAATTGACTTCCTTAATCGTGGAAAACCGCTACCGAAGGGTTTTCAAAATCTCTCCCCCTTCTTAGACGATCAAAAGATTCTTCGAGTCGGCGGTAGATTACGACAGGCTCCGTTACCCTACTCGAAACGCTTTCCCGCTTTGTTACCGTCGGGGCATCGTTTCACCTCTATGCTCATAGAATACACGCATCGCAAATATTTTCACGCTGGAGATCAGACGGTTCATTACCTTATCGGTAACCAATTTTGGATTATATCCGCCAAACGCGCGATAAGACGGGTGCTGTCTAAGTGTCTAAGATGTTTCCGTACCCAACCGGTATCCACTCAACCACGCATGGGGGATTTGCCTCCTTCTCGGTTTTCTAAAATTAAACCATTTTTACGAGTTGGGGTGGACTACGCCGGCCCCTTTTCTATTACCATGGCCAAAACGCGCGGTGCTAAAACGCTAAAAGCGTATTTATGTCTATTCATATGCTTTGCGACGAAAGCTCTACACTTAGAGCTCGCCTCAGATTTAACCGCCGACGCCTTCCTAGCGGCGTTACGACGCTTTCTTGCGCGGCGAGGGAGATGCCAGCATATCTATTCCGATTGTGGTACTAATTTTGTTAGTGCCCACAAACAATTAGATCAATATATGCGCGAAGCTGTACAGTCAGAACAGATTCATTGGCATTTCAATCCGCCATCAGCTCCACACTTTGGTGGTTTGTGGGAGGCCGGCGTCAAATCGGTAAAGACCCACCTAGTCCGTGTCATAGGCCACCAAATCTTAACCTACGAAGAGCTCTTAACTTTAGTCTCTCAGGTCGAAGCAATGCTGAATTCCCGTCCGCTTCATCCTGTAAGCAGCGACCCAAACGACTTGACCGCACTGACTCCCGGCCATTTTCTTACGTTTGCCCCTTTAATTGCACTCCCAGAACCGGACCTTGAAGATGTGCCGGTGAACCGCCTAACTCGCTGGCAGCTAGTTCAAAGCTTTGTCAAATGTATTTGGTCGCGATGGAGTGCCGAATATCTCCATACATTGCATCAGCGGTCGAAATGGTCTGCCGAGAAACCTAATTCTATCGAGGTCGGATCCCTCGTCCTTATCAAAAACGAGGTGATACCCCCTCTGCAGTGGCGTCTCGCCCGAGTCCTACTTCTCCATCCGGGACAAGATGGCATAGTTCGGGTTGTCACCTTGAAAACCGCCGGTGGAGTCCTAAAGCGCCCAGTGGTCAAACTTTGTCCACTCCCTGCAACTTTGCAGTAAAAAAAACCCTTTTTGTTTTTTTTGGTGGGCGGAATGTCTCGTCCCCAACACAATCTTTATTTAGTTTTAGTTTAATTTGTATCGCTTGGTGCAGTACTGCGCCCGCAACCCTCGCTACACTGGTGGCCGATCTATTGCGGCCCTTTTTGCTTTTGGTGACCGCTTGAGTAGCAACAAGTCGAGTGGACTGGACGCGCATTGTGAAGTCGTAGTCGTACCGGCAGCGACATAACCCGCCATCTTGTTGTTGATCCCGCTTTATGATTCCCGCTATTGTTATCACCCCGCTATTGTAGTACCCGCTCTTATTATAACCCCGCTATTGTTGTACCCGCTATTGTTCTAACCCGCCATTGTTGTACCCACTATTGTACCCGCTATTGTACCCGCTATTTTACCCGCTACCGCTATAACCCGCGTCAGGGCATAACCCTATTTCGCGCACCCCCATGCCGAGTGCTTCCGCCAGGAGCACCCCAGCCATCACCTCCAGGCCAAGATCACTACGAACCACAGCTCGGAAAGTCCAACTCATCTCACTCTGGTAAGCTACAATATCTATAAATTAAAAAAGTGTCAAAGGTTATCTCGACAAAATTTTCCGCGGCCCTGAAGTACAATGATATTCAATAAAACATATCCAACTTTCCAGCAAAACTCAAAATTTGATTTTGTAATTTTTATTTATTTTTTATGAGAACCCCTATAAGTTAAAATAAAGATTGTATGTAGCGTTAAAGTAAACATAAAGAAGAGTGCTAAGCGTATGTTTCAAATGAGTTTTTCTATACAAAATTTTGTGATAACGTCATCAATATTTTTACAAAGATACATATAACAATTTGTATAAGTGCAGTGTAATGTGCAATGTAATAACACCAGTATTCCATTCCCAAATTTTCTGGAAAATGTTTATTTCATGTTTGAATCATGAAATAAACTGACTCATTTATTATTTTTTTTGGGTCACCTGTATTAGCAATTAAAAAAAATATGAATCTTGTGATTAATAACAAGTATAAACTCATCATATTTTGCACATTTTCAATTTATTTGGGAAAAATTTAAGCTGACGTAGTCCATTTTTTTGAAGAGATATTTTTATTAAAAATTTTGCGTGCTTACGATAACTTTAAAGTATCTCCAAGATTTCAAAGTAATCGATTTTGCAGCTTCTGATTGCATCAATAAAACAAATTAATTAATTCACTAATTTTTTTGAGTCACCTGTACAAGAAATTCTAAAAAATATTAATGAAATGGTAATCACAAGTATAGACTCATCATAATTTGCACATTTTAGAAAAGATTTATTTAGCAAAATTTTGAGATGACGTCATCATTTTTTAGAGAGGTTGTAAAAGGGTGAATTTTGATTAACGATTAGCATGTTTCCGATAAACTTAAAAAGTTTGCAAGGCCTCAGAGCATGCGGTTTTTAATTTCAAAATTAAATTGTAAAATGTTATACAATTTTGATTTTTTCATAATAATCTGGATGTCTAGGGTAAAAGTCAACACGTAGTCATGAATTACAAGTGGCGGAGTATGTTATTTTATAAAATTTAAATAACATTTACAATTGTAAAAGTTGGAGTTGACGTCTATCATCGTTGGTAGGGATGATCAGACAAATTTTGGTTAAAAGTTTTATCATCTACACGATATTCCTAATACACATGCAAGAATTTGACAACAATCGGTCCGGTAGTCTCCGAAATTATCTACCTAACAAAAATCGACATGGACGCGGACAGACGGCAGACGACAAACCGCAGACGGCAGACGGATGGTAGACACCAAACAGACAGACAAAAACGAGAGACCCGTTTTCGTATTCTAGGGGTCATTAAACGTCGAGAAAACATAAAAGTAACCAGTCGCCCGATGGACCTGACGACAATACTTCCTTAACTTACGCTCGGGAAAAAAAAATATGGACAATCACATGTGTAAAATAAAATATGTACAAATATGAGCTTTATACATTAATTACAAGTGTTTTGCAGGAATTCATCTACAAGGCAAAATTATTTCTCAGCTGAATATCTTTTAAGTTTTGGAGTTTTAACTCCTTTCTTTTCGTATTATAGAACATTTATACGACGCGCACCGGAATAGGATGTCGAGTTCGATACCGACCGAATTCGACAATGACACCAGTTTGAACTGAGTCTGAACATAGGCATGCAAGGCCGCGCTATAGAAAGACAAACAGATAAACTGGTGTGAATATGTAGTAGGTAAGCGAAGAAAAACACGTGGGAGGTCACCAATGTAGGTAAGCGAAGAAAAAATGTTTGCTGCTTTGGTGCCGGGCAGGTGCCTTGACCACTAACCTACAGAGCGGGTGATCTTTACTTCGCTTAGCCAGTTATTATTGTGGCGCCACAAACGTAACCATGATGTGCTGGATCGCCCGGACTCAGTAGCGGGGATAATCACTGAATTTAATCGTCACTTATTCCATAAATACAATTAACGAAAACGTAATTAGTAAAACGGCTAAGTAAATGAGAACGGGAATTAACAGCAGAGTGCAACGAAGCAACGTTATTCTATTCTCAAATGAACGAAGTGCAGCCCGTAAGAGTTTGACCTTGCTTAACCCGACGGCCATTCGCTGCTTATTATTATGATAATTAATTATGATATTTCTATATGATAAAATAAATAAATAAAGTATATTTTATAACAGAGAACAATTGACAATACATGGATATTTACTTTAATTAACATCATCATTAATCATAATTTTATCAAAAATTACAAATGCAACATATTTGTGGTTTTTATTATTTTTTAAGAGAAAATTAATGAATTCGCCGCGTATACGTGTTTAATTTATATAAATTGACAACGCAGAGTTACAGGTCCATCCGTGCGTCCTTGGGTCGATGCACTTTTTTTACTTTAAATTTTTTTCGGATTTGATTGTTCAGAAAATATGTGTACAAAAGTACCCCAGACAAAATTCCATGATTTTAGAAATATTCACAATCTGTAAACGCCATTGTTTTTAGCTTGAAAGAGGAAGCGTAATTTAGTATACTGCAAGTATGTAAAACGAACATTAATGTCGACGGCGGGACGCAAACTTGTATGTTTTTAAATTACAACATAGATTTTTTAATGGGCTTTGATAGATCATTAAATTACTATTATAGAGTTTACAGGAACACCTGTATACTTTTGTATTAAATCGAAAGTGCCGACTCGAAAATATACAGAAAACTTACTGTTAATATTTGACATTTCCTAGTACTTAAGTAACGAAAAACATTTGAAAACATAACAAACTCATTTTGATGCATAGGAACATGAATAGTGAACAGATAAACCAGTATCCCTCATCTAATATGTGATGTCTTCCCAGCCCAAAAAAAAAAAAATTAAAATGTATAACTAAAATATATTTTTGGTGAATAATTAGAGCACAACTTCATACGCCTATACCTAATTTCAGGTGATTTGATTAGTTCTCAAGATATTTAACCGTTTTCATACATTCTAGCGACTCGGTTGTACCTCAATTAGACTAATGCAGTTTGCAGTTGCCTTCACTTTGTTAAGTTGAATTAAAATATAGACGCTCACGTTGGACCAAGTTTGAATGACACTTGATAGTTCGTATGTAAACTTAAAATATGCAATTGTATTTCAGTGAATCGACAAAATCACCACGTTGTTAAATGTACAAGAGCCCTTAGAAACCCAAGAAGAAAAGAAGAGCAAACATTGTTACTTACCTGTACGTCTTTTAGAACTAGTTACTTTTGCAACACTCGACAAACGCGTGTCTTTTGATGTTTCCATTAGCCCGTTGATAGTTTCTTTAAAGAATTCCGCCTCTCTTGGCATCCAATTCCTGTAAATCCCGTTCTCACCGTTTAAATCTCGATTTGTTCTCCTCTAAATTCTCGTGTTTCTAAACAGTTTAAAAGGGCACATCGCCTCCCTCTTTCAATAAATAACAAGCGAGAACGTCTCTTAAAACGCCACGAATTGTTTCGATAACATAGATCAAACAAGTCAACAAACTTAAAATAGAATCCTCTTCTGACCTTTTTTGCACAAAGTGGCGCTCTGCACTTTTCGATATTTCCCCACCCGACCGTTCTGTTGCCGTATCAGATTTATTATTTCAATTTCGCGCCCGATAAACATCCCCTAACCGCCCCACTCTTCCGCCCCAGCAATAAAAAAACAGCCAACCTCTCCGTGACTCGTATATTAACATCTTCAATATAATACAATAATTTTCATAAACATCATCACAAATAGATTTTTATTTTTTATAATTTTAGTGTATTTGGCCTTAACATTATGGTTTTACTCTTAGCAAACACTTAATTAGTTGAGTTTAGTTTTACTTGTTCGAATTTGGTGAGTTTAAGCGAATTAGTGGCGCAGTGCTGTCACTTCGCCTCTAACTCAAATTTTACTTCGTTACATTATTTTACGGCCTAAAAGTTTACATTGTGTGTATGTGTAAAATACGTGCTGTACAATTTCACCATTTGTGCAAAAATAAACGCCTGCACGGTTCTCACCCTCTACAAAATGGCGAAATGGGCCATTCTGTGCCGACACAGCAAGCGAAAATTTAATTTCGCCAAAAATTGTTCACTGAACTAGAAATATTTCTAAGATTAGAAGAAATTGCGAAAAACTGACAACTAACCTGACTCAAAACTTCGAAAATTGTTATTTTCTTAACATAAATTTGATTTAATCGTTAAAGCGATTTTGTACGAAATCAAAAATAGGATTAAAAGCGATATTGCGTTTTGAGTTAAATCTGCTGTTAGTTTTGAAGCAATTCTTCGAATATTAGAGATATGTATTTGTGTTCATACGTGAACCTCACTTTGGCCAGATGAATATAAAATCTTAAATCTAAAAATGTTTCGCTTGCCGTTGGTCTAGAATGACCCAAATGGGAAAAAGTGTTACACAGTTTCGAACATTTTTAATTTATTTGAATTCATAGCCGCAGCCGTAAATTTCTCATGTTTTTACTGAGGTGTCTACAAATTTTCCCACTTGGCGTCTCACCCCAGTCCTGGCCTGCCTTCGGCGCGTGCCAAGAAGATCGTTCGTTGTAGCATAAATACGTCGTGTCGCAGCGTCCAGGACCGGGCTATTAATTTTATTCTGGGTCATTACGTCGTGCAAACATTATTAAAATGATTTATTCAGTACATTTACATGAAGTAACTACTTGAACATAATACTTATAGGATTATTGCCAAGTGTGGTATTCAAGTATGTACATATATCTACTATTATTTACATCGTTGGAAATTTAGGATCACATTATTTAACAAAGATTTGTGGAGCAACCTAAATTACGGCCCTGCGGCATGGGGAAATATGGATGGGGTGGGTGGCGCAGAGCTTAACTCCACGATTCGACTATGGTGGAAGGATGTTTATGGTAATGAAGGAGGAACAAAAACGGGTAGTCCGAGCCGCAAAACGTAATCTTAGAGACGTGGAAAAAATTATACAGGATGTCTCAAATTGCTGAGCTGGAAATACGTTTGGAATAGTTTATCTGGTCGCTAGGGTTTTGATTTATCTAGCGGTGATTTAACGTGAAAAAAATACGACCGTTTTTGGACGATATATCTCCTCAAAATGTCCACACAAATCAAAAATCAAGTCGTTTCTTTGTATTTTTGTGACAGAATCGTTTTCCGGAAGGGTTTACGGAGGAGGTGCTTTAAATACAGGTAAACTATAGTCAGGCTGCAACGGAGTTAAAAATATATTTTCACAGACTAACTGCCTACATTTTTTTTAATTAGCGTTGTTTTCAGAATTAAACAAAAATACAGCAATTACTTCTGTTTTTATTAAATTCTTAGTATTCTCCTTTCTACCTTATTAAAGCAACTGGTAAAAGATTTGTTGGAATTTTCAAAAAAAAAATCTACGCATGTATTTGTGTAAAATTACTAAACTCTTTTTAGCAGCTACATATAAAACTATCCGAAATCATAATTTCAATTGAAAAACAACATATGATCAACTGAGTGTCACTGACTATTAGCTTACTAATAACTGCTAGTATTGAGCTTTCTTCGTAAATAATGCACCAGAACCTATCAAATAAAGACAACAAAGTAATTTATAGTCTCACCTTAAAAAACTGGGACTTTATATCCATGGATCTGTGGTTGTAAGTTGTTTGTTTAAAAACAAAAAGCTTCTAGTCTGTACTAAAACGCGTTTTTCTTGTTTGTAAAAATAAATATGACCGAGAAAAGTCAAATCCAAATCAGTTGTATCTACAGATTCTTGATATGAAAAGAAATAGGGAAGGTGGATCAAAACGGCATGTTGGGTCAAGATGAGGTACAATCACAACTCTCTTCAAATCTATACGCGGTGTTTGACCAGACTTTTGTGTATGGAAGAAGTGACAATCACTTCTTTTACAGTGTTGCTTACGTTTCTGTCTTTTTATTAAATGAACTCAAGTAAAAAACGACAGAATAGTTAAAAACTATAGAAAATGCCAACTGAGCTGTTTTTCAACAACATATTTAATATTTTGTGTACTTTATATAAAAGACAAAACATCAAAGATTCGTCCTTGGGTGTTTTAATGTAACTGAAAATTTAGGTGGCCCGTCTGGCCCCACCCTTCCCTACACATCTTCATAAAAATTTGAAAGGCATCAAGGCTTGGAAGACGATGGATATACAAATTAATAATGAGTTTTCCATAAATTAAAGCATACACCTAAGAAATACTGAAATTTAGTTCACCGTCTGCTTTCTTAAGACAGAACTATTTCTTAAAGGTATACAATATCATCCTTTATTTGTTTCGACCCGGCCCGGTTCCACTTACTAATGCAGAGGGTCTCTCCAAAGCTTGGGGCCCAACCCTCAAGGTCCGTCCAAGAAACTCAAAGCTCGATTTAGGTGCGAAATTGGAGGTCCGACACAAAGCGGGTGCCCGCAGTTCTGAATTTGATGTGCGTATCCTGAAGTATTAGTTTTTGTCTACTGAAGTCCGAAGCTCGAGGTACGAGATCAGAACAACCGAGCTCACAGGATCGCCCGGTTTGACACTGCTCCAGTTTTTCCAAACTCTCCCGAAAATAACATAACTGTCCACTGGACTTAAAAGTCGACTGAACCGGAATGAACTGGACCGGACCGGGTCGGACCGGGCTGAAAAGAGTACCTCTGTTAATTAAATGTTAGTTAAGATTTTGTAACAACAACCAAAAACTTAAAATATTTAACATTTTGTTAACTGCAATAGAAAGAAATTTGTGTGTAACACGAGAGAAAAGTATATATTTTTGACACAAAGTAGCTGCTATGAAAGAAAATTTTTTATCTGGTAATTATGTCATTGAAAATTTTAACATGACTATAGTTTACTTATATACAGCCCCCCTAATCAATCAGTATTAAATAATAAAACGTCAGTGCGAGATATATTTTGTACTTACCATTTTAGGACGGAAAGTTAATAGTGCTTTCTTGCTTGGGAAAATCATAACTCACTTTTCTTTATAAGACACATAGGAGGATGTATTTATATTGTGGTAGTTTGAATAATTTGTTAATTATTGAATATTTTATAAAATATATGAAAAAAAAGTTAAGAAGGCAGTTGGAGTTAGGCCAGCGAAGCAATTTGAGACATTATTAAAAATACCAAGATTAAAGTCCTTAAAACTTAACGACTTCGATAGAAATTTACAAAAAGCAAACCTCTTCACAACCATCCTGATCATATTCATCACTAACAACCATTATGTCCCTAACAAATGAAGGATACTTGAGCTAACATAACCATAGTTTTTTCGAATATCGTATCACATTATTATCATAATATCGAAAAACTTTTGGTCTAATAATAAATAGTGCCTATAGAGGATCGGTGATATGACTTTCATTAATAAAAAACACATGACACACCGTAAAAAATGAAGAACGTCCATAAAAAAAATACCCAAATTCCTGTCTTACCGACTCATCAACACCACCTCACAAATATTACCAAAAAGAGAACAATGGCGATTTTCTCAGTCGTTTTCGAGCCTCCCGAGTAGGGAGAGTGAAGCTTTTGATTGTTCACCAGCTGGTTCTGGTCTAAAATCATGACGATTTTCGTGGACGACAACGGGGGCGCCACTGCTTGGTTGATGCCCTCTGTGGAGGACTCGCATGTGACCTCCAGGGGGGTCTTGGGACGATTTTGGACGAGCTTCTTGTCCAGAAGGAGCCTCAACTGGGTTGTCGTGCTCTTGAGGTGGATGCGATCGTTATGGGTTTCCGTCACGAAAGCAGAATTTAGTTCTCGGACTGACTTTCCTGTCATTGGTTGCTTGTTCACATACCAGGTCAGGAGCGGCTTGGGGTCGCCGAGACCGGAGGTGCACTGAGCGATGAGGAGGTCTCCGATGAGATAGGAGTCGGAGATACCTTCAATTTTAGGTCGGTCTTCTGGGACAGCTGAAAGGAATAAAAAACGTCAATAGATGAAAACAGAAGATACAGTATGAAAAAAGTACGCTACATCGAATAAATATATAAATTTATGTCTACATTTTCTGACGTTGATGTTATTTTGTGAATTTTTTATACCGCTCACGCAATGGATAAAAAGCAACAATGTGTAAAAAATGATGAGTAGGTGAAATTCAAGGCTCTGTAAAAATTTTAAATGAATTTTTACAATTGTGTCTATAGTTTTTTGCAAAGGTGTCTACAAATCGCGTCAGAAAAGAGTTCTGGAACATTACGCTAAACATAATGAAAACCTTTTAAATACGCGTTCTTTAAACGATCTGTGCTTTTAGATTACTCTCGCTTTTTCGTTAGATAACATTTTATGCTCAAGTTTTTGCTTAAAAGTAAACTGCCTTCAGACGCAAAGTTCAATATTTTAAGATGAAGTTAAGTTTTTTGTTGATCAAAGTACGCATAAGAATCAGGCAAGCAATATAATTTATTTTCCGTTACTGAATACAGATTCTTTCGTTCAGTTAGTCCATTTGATTTTCATCTATCTTTCGCCTAATTTTTCAAGCCTGAATGACAGTAAGGAATAAAAATCCTTCCGGTTCGGTAGAGCAAATATTGTTTTTTCAAGTTGTCTGAGTTTTATAATTAACATAATGCTGAATTTAATAATTGTTTCGGGAAAGTACGAGTACCTATACAAAACTTTTTGAGATAAGTCTTGCTTGAGGTAGTGTAAATTAATATGTCTGGTTTTATTTAACATAGTAAAAATAATTTTAAAACCAATTTAATAACTACGATACCAAAGTTTGGAATAAATATGTCAAAAGTATTGCAACGTTATTATTATTATTATTATTATTAATAAAAGATACATATTCAGTGAGAAAAATTTGAAGCTTATTAACTTTTTTAATTTTAGTTTTAGTATTTTTTAAGCTTTTAATATGGGAAATATGTGCTTAAGTTATTTACCTGTATCTTACTATTTTTTCAAATATGAGATACACATTAAAAGTTTCGCATGCGAAATAATTTCCGGCTAAAATACTTGATGATTAAAAAAAATTCGCGGAGAAAATTCTTAGATATTGAAAGATAGAAGATATAAAGCTGATCTAAAGTTCCTTAGACAGTATGTGTCTTATGCAAGGTATTAATGTACTCCTATAAAATAACACCCTTAACATCATTTTACGCTAAGATTTTCAAAGACTTAAGTTTACTGTAAATACTTAAATCATTTTTCAAATAATAATTTCTACTGAAAAAATTAAAGATGGCGGGGAGCAAACTCGAGATCTATCACATGCAAAAAGTACCGTTCTACACTGATATACACTCCCTACAAAAATTATCGTAACACCTCCAGTTCTAGTAAACCGGACTACATGTAGCTACCATATACACATTAGGGATAAATGTGTGCAACATATCTACATATATACAAATTGGGAGAATACAAAATTTTGAGAGTGGTGCAATAATTTTTGTGGGGAGTATATAGGTATTCTGTACATCGTAACTACCGTGAGATCGTTTAAAATTTTGCTTTAGTTGGCCATGACGTCTACGTCACCAGTGCAATTGAAACGGTTGACGCAAGTGTCATGACCAACTAGAGCAGGAATTTAACAAATCACCCGATATTTTAACTTTTTGATAATAAGTTTTTTTCAAAGATGTTATTTCCCTTTTTTAAAGGAACGCTTTACAATATAAATTTCACGCAAAATTTGATTTGTTTTTGCTTTTGTTACTTCCCGGGTGCAAGCAAATACTCGACGTTTTATGACCCCTAGAGTACGAAAAAATAGGTCTTCCGTTTCCGTCTGTTTGTCTGTCGGTTGTCTGTCTTTCTCCTGTCGTCTGTCTGTTTTTCTGTTTCAATTAAACAGATAATATCCAACACTATTAAACCGATTGTTGTCAAATTTAATACATACGTTAGGGATATTGAGTAGGTGGTAAAATGCTAACAAAATTTTTTCTAATCTTTCCCATCAGCAATGTAATGACGTCTCCTCAAAATTTTCGACATTAAACATGATTTAAATTTCATAAAATAATATACTCCTACACTTATGGTTTATGAATTCGCCTTGAGTTTTTTCCCCAGGTATCAAAATGTTCACAAAAAATCTGAAGCTGTATAACAACCTTTTATAAGCGACGGCTAAAGTTGCCGACCTCATACTTGTGTATTCTGTGGTTTTAGAATTCTGCTTATAGTTTTAAAATATACTGATCCAGAAATATTAAAAATAATTATCATAATAAAAACATAGTTGACCTGTCTAAAGTATTAAAATATATAATTTCAATCCACTTTGATTAGTCGATTTAAACATATTGTTATTATTATTATTAATCTAAAAATTAGAATTAACTAAAACTAGACTGTTCAAAGCGTCAACAAACGTCCTTTGTACAAATTTTAGGTGTCATATTGTAAGGTAGTAATTAACAGGTGTGGTTTCATTTGTTCAGAATAAACTCCTAATAAGCTCTCTTGTTAGCTTAGTGAATTCATTATCACACTTTCATATATGTGTTTATAATTTAAGTTTTATAGACAAGATAAATTTAATTCAAGACTGTTATTCACGTTGTTTTTGCGCTATGGAGACCTTGTTGTACTGTATTTGTTTAATTCTTGTTTTGTTATTTTAAGCTTCAACTCGGCTATATTACACTGTTTTTTACATCTTCTTATAAAAGATTTGTATTTTATAGGAAGTCCTAATTTCACAAACATGAGATGAATTGTTTATTTAGCGAATATTGAATACCGAGGACCTAACATAACAAAAAAATGTTTAAATCAACTAAATGTGTTAACAGAGTACGGTTAATTTGTTCATGCTGTTTTTTGATGTGACACTCAAATGTCATACATAAAACGTATTCGTACAAAAATGAAAAATATTGCGTTAATTACATAACAGCTCGAGAACAGACATAATTAACGGGGAAGAGGCGGGTAAACATCATGGTATAATTTAATTATAATTGTGCTAATTAATAAATTTAAGTTGTTACTAAATGTTAACATGTTTGTGTTTAATTATGATTATTTATTTATTTTTAAGTATAATAAATTCGCATTTAGTCTATTAATTTTCCAAGTATAATTCCACCATGCTGTACTCATATGACAAGCATGTGACACCAATAAATAGAATATGAATGCTTCTAATTTAATTCAAACGTTTTGATTCTGCATATAACTATAATGGTTTACATTTTACAATAGTTATATTTTTTTCTGAATTTTTTAATAACTGTATCATCTACTACACATCATATTGAGTGGTAAACATATAACCATATTAAAAGTATACCTTAACGTTGCAGTTTATTAAATCTAAAGCAACCAAGCTATTTTCTAAACAACAACCATCGATCGAAATACAAGTTTATTGACCTACTCTGCCCTGGTTTCTACATTTTAAAAATAATTTAATATTTTTACAGCAGGGTAAACTGAGGTCATTATTTTAAGCCCTGAAGACAAAGCAGAGATGAACAATGAGTTACATGCGAAAATACTTTTTATAAAAAGCTCGTTGTTGCAACTTATTTTGTTAGTGCGAGTATTTGGAGAAATAACTACTGATAATTTTAAATTATTTTTGATGATCAACTTTTATGAAGAACTTAAGTAGGTTACGTCCTTCATAAAGGTAAATTTTCGTCCTGCTTGTACTGATAAATGATAAAAGTAGTTCATTTCATATTCTTTTTCAAGACGAATCAAGTAAAAATGTCTAATTCTGCTGTTCGATGTTGGCTGTCAAATAAACCAAAAGAAAAGGATGAGAACGCTTGACATGAGGTCGGTTACCTTGATTGAAATTCGAAATACAAAATGTGCCTTTACATTTTCTAATGGAAACATCGAACATCTTTTGAAATATTTCGAAAATATTCTTCGCCAATTGATAGTTTCCATTCGGTTTCTTTTGACAGAGATGGAGATGCATGATCTGCTAAGTAGTTATCTTTGGAATTTACCTATGCATCGTAAATCCAGAGCTCACGAGTCTCACACCATTGTAAAGTCTCCCTAATTATTATTCAGAGGACGTGATCAGTTTAAAAATTTGTGCATGGAAGTAGTACCGGTGCAGTACTACCTAGTTAGATAAAGAAATGTTCAGATGAGAAGACATTTGCACAATTTGTTTCAACAATTTCAGATACAATTTTTTCTTGTTTGGGTATAGTTCGCTGAATTTTTGGCAAGCGTGGTTCAAGTTTTCGTTGTATTTCCCATCACACGAAAATAGTCTTAGTTGTTGAAATTTTTCAGAATTTTTACAACAGCGATAAAGCTCCAAAAATAGTAACAATCGTTTTGTTACAAACGTCGTATTGAAAGATCAAAAATTTATTTTTAAAGTACATAACTAGATTTAAATTAATTAGACAGTTTTTGCCTTTAATTTACTAGTTTAGAATATTGGTTCTATTTGTTTTTTGTAACCTGTATTAACCAACAGATTAGACGTGAGATGTTGAACACTTTTTTCTAAATAAATTATTCCGAAATGGATTGATCAAGCACGTATTATAAAAATCTAAATTTCGTCTTTTGTTTTGCTACAGTTACTCCACAAGAGAGTAATTTTAATGTTTAGTAGATCTCCCCTTCGAAATTATTCCAGGTTGTTGTAAATACGACTTATTCGAAAAAAATCTGTCGAGCCTTGGAGAAATTCATTGCATCGTTTGAATTAACATGAACTGCAATAAATCACTCGATTTTGCTTTTTTTTTTTCAAAGGCAATACGGCAGTCGAAATCGGATTGATAACATCAGCAGTGACATTTACTATAAAATATGAAGAAAAAATTATAAATGAGTTTTTTTCATTGACTGCGGGGACATTTTAAATAGGCTTATTTCATCATCAATAAAGTCAACTCTAAGCGAATTTTAGTAAATATGTATCAAACGTGGGAGGTTAAAGATTCTGCCATAACATGTGTAGGACTCCTGTATTGACAGCCTCGGGAAATGGGAAATGTTTTTTGAATTAGCAATAATGCCGCGAAATCTCTCATGTAAAATGCATTCTTTATGGGTTTTATATGCTGTCAGTTAAACGTGAACGGCACAATAGACACAGCTTTGCCAGTTATAAAAGAATAGCATGAAATCAAGGGTAGAACATGTGGTAGCAGGATGTCAGCGTTGTCGCATGCTCTTCAGCTTAATATTAGATATTTTGAACAAGGAATATGCTACATGTTGTGGTTTGGAAACTAACCATTAAATAGGGGAAATTAATAACAAAAAATCCGGGATTACACAAAATTAAATGATTAGGATGATACTGAAACTAACACAGTATTATCCGCACGGCATTGAAAATTTCAACAAACTATGGACGAATTTCAACAGCTACGCTGCCATCTACTTGGATTAAGCCACCAGTTTACTCGTGATCGTAGAAAATTTAATTCGTAGTTATTTTCTTCTTGTTATACTTACTTATATTAGATAAAGTGTTATCTTTGTAGTGTAATTAAAGTGAAGCAAGATATATCCAAATTACGGGATACTACTTAAATCTGTTTATTCTTTAGCATGTGGTAAACTGTCTTTTCAATTCGTCTCGTCATAATAATAATGATAATAAAATGTACTATTCAACTAAAACATCCGGAATAAAGTTGAGATAACGACTTATTTCAAGAAACTCTCTTGTAATAATTAACAACTAAGGCGGTAAATGAGAACCATAAGTGGGATGATAACGAGTGCCTCTTGTTTCCCGACAAACCTCCTTATATGTGAGCTCCTAGATATCTTGAAATCGATTACCAAATGTGGGTTTATTTTCCAATTAAACATTCACACTGAACTTTGAATATGTTAATTTAGCGGTAACAGTTAAATTAAAATATTCAAGTGTAGTGAAAGAAACCAAGTTAGTTAATTTTCTGTTAGTAAACTTTCAGAGGTTAGTTACACCTCGCCAATCCATTTAGCGTTGATAGCTAAGAACGTCAAATTAAATTATATGCTTATATCTTGTTCATAGATAGAAAGTTTGAACTTATTGTTTCTTTAAAACAGAAATTTATATTTTCTTTTTCCAAGTTTTTTGTCTTGTCGACATTTCGTAACCCCTAAAAAATGAAAAAAAAAATGTTTTCTTGTTTTTGTCGTTTATTGTCCCTGTCACTATATTATACAGATAATCTGCGAAACTACTCGACTGATTGTTGTCAGATCTTATAGGATAGGTATTTTGGAAATATCGTATAGATGGAAAACGCTAACAAAAATTTGTATAATCATTCGCACCAATAATTTGATTATGTTACCTGAAAATTTTGTGTAGTAAATACTATCTGATGTTTATAGAATAACATTCCTATACTTGTAGTTTATAAATCCTTCTTAATTTTTTTGACCTTAGACATCCAGAAAACAACATTTAATAATAATATAAGAGAAGCATTAAACAATCAGTCATTAGCTCATTAGCTTTTACAACTGCTGGAAAATAAATATCAAGGACACACAAGGTTTAACAAGGCTGCAATTTTTAGCACGTGATATTTTTTATTTAAAGGTAACATTTTTAAATAAAACTTCTACAGTTTCTAACCGGATGTTATTAAAAATTTTCTAAAAGTAACACAGAAGATCTTGAAAAGTTTTGGAAATCTGAAAAATGTCGAATATTCTAAATCTCTTGGAGCCTCTAAAATTTTTGAAAACTTTTAAAAATGTTGAAGATCGGAAGACAGAATTTAAAATATTTTGAAAAGAAAAAAAAAACAGCATTTAATATTAGGTAAATGTATAATATTGAAAAAAACTAAAATTTATTAAATCTAAACAGAACTTAAAAATTTTGAGAAAGCAAAATAGGAAATTGTGAAAAGCTTTAAAAATCGAAAATCTTTACCTCAACATTCTAAATATCTTGAAACCCCCACAATTTTGGAAATCTTTATAATCTTGAACATTTAGGAAATGTTATGATACTTAGGGATCGTGAAAATTTAAACATTTTTAAATTATGAAAATTCTGAAAATCTTGAAAAGTTGAGGGTAAAATAGAAACATCAAAAATGATTTTAAAGCGTTAGAGTAAATTTAACCACAGAATTTTTAAAACTGTTAGAAACCAAAAATCAAGGGGACTAAGGTTTTAAAACGCTGAAATTTTTAGCAGGTAATATTATTTAAATGTTAAATTCTTAAAAAAAAAAAAATTATAGTTTGGTAAGCCTAACCTGAAAAATTTCTTAGAACAACACCGAAGATCTTGAAAACCTTTGGAAATTCGAAAAATCTGGAATATTCATAAAAATGTTGAACATGAAATATAAGTGCCGAAAATAATTTGAACGTATTATGGTAGATCGGAAGACAGGATTTAAAATGTTTTTGAAAAGAAAAATATCAGCATTTAATACTGGGTAAATGTATAATATTTAAAAAGATTTATAATTTGTTAAGTTTAAACAGAGGTTGCAAATTTTGAGAAAGCAAAATAGAAAATTCTGAAAAGCTTTAGAAATCGGAAATATTTACCTGAACATTCTAAATATCTTGAAACCTCTACAAATTTTGGATTCTTTATAATCTTGAACATTTATGATTTTTACGAATAGCGGAAATTTAAGCATTTTCAAAAATATGCAAATTTTTAAAATCTTGAAAAGTTGAGAGTAAAATATAAGTATCAAAAACGATTTTAATGCTTTAGATAAGTTTAAACAGAGAAATTTTAAACTGTTGGAAAATAAATGTTAAAGACAATAAAATTTTACAAGCCTTAAATTTTTATCATGTGAGATTATATAAAGGTAAAATTTTTAAACAAAACTTCTATAGTTTCTAACCGGATGTTATAAAAAATTTTCTAAAAGTGACGCAGAATGTCTTGAGAAGTTTTGGAAATTTGAAAAATGTCGAATATTCTAAATATCTTGGAACCTCTAAAATTTTTGAACCCTAAAAAATGTTGAAGGTAGAGTAGTGTCGAAATTTCGAACGCATTATGGTAGATCTAAATACAGGATTAAAAAATATTTTTGAAAAGAAAAATAACTGGATTTACTACTAGATAAATGTAAATCTTAAAAAAAGTCTAAAACATGTTGAGTCTAAACAAAGGTTAAAAATTTTGATAAAGCAAATCAGAAAACATTCTAAATATCTTAAGTGTCGTGCTAAAAACGAGAAGGCCTTGATCTTATTCCACTTTTTTCCTTACAGTGTTACAGGTATTACCTTTTTTTTCCTAAAGAACTGGATTTCTTTGATTATACATCAGAGAATAACATGAAACCATTTTTTTTAAACTCAAATTTAGCTGAAAAAGTAGTTTGTTGCTATTCTTACGAAACCAATCTAATCCGCTTGTTCTTCAATACTATTTTTCTTTTTAAGTTTGAATTATCTCGCCGTTCTAAAATAGTACGAAATGGTTATTAACTATACGTGCATAAAAGTCCAAAAGCTTGCCTGTTCTGTAATTAATGTTAATGCAAAGCATTTGAAAAAAACATTTAGTTCATAGACTGAAATTGGATTCATGTGTATGTTCAATAGTTAATCAGGTATTCATTTTATAATCCAAAATTGAAGTGGCTTAAAAGAGACATTTCTCCACGCAATAATTTGCTATTGCTGTCGAATTAGGCGGTAATTAGGCACTGGAATATCTTGTTTACCCCATTAAAATCAACACAAAGTGTAATGGATTAGATTAGCAATTTAATCGATCGCGTGCCACGCTTGTCATTCTCAATTAACCTCAACAGCTTTGTAAAAACTAATCATTTCCCTATCAACGCTGTTCAATAACAGAAAAAAAATTATCACACGAACGCGACCAGAAAATTGTTTTATCGGTAATTTATCATCATCGTGTTGGGCAAATCGTTATCTAAATTTATTGCCTAAATCCTATGTAGTGTCAAAAGAACGATGGAAAAAGTCGTCCCAATTAGTGCGACACAACACACTAAAAGGTAAGTCAATATTTTAGTATAATTAGCGAACAAAAACGGACTCGAAGAGTGAAAGATCCGAACGAAAAAGAGCCAACAATAATTAATTATAGATTCAGATTCTTTTTTATTCTGGTCAATAATGAATTTGAATGGCATGAATGTTTTATGTTCTTGTTCTATTAACTGTTCGCTTTTGTGTAATAGGGGAGGGCGACAAAACGCGATAAATAAAATACCATTTATATTCCAAATTGGCCGTGTTTTGATTCAACAATAACGATAAAGAGGAAATAATCGTGTTGGATTAATGTTGTTCAACAAATAATAAATTCACGTGGATATATCACCGCATTAAAATAATATAACTAGCCGCGGCTTTTTCGTGTATTGTAGTGTGGAATCTATGGTTTGTAAAGCCTCAAACCCCAAACGCCGATGATAATTAGATTCTGCGGCTGAAAGTTGATGATGACGTTGGATTATTGAAACTGCAAATGTTTGTCTAATTGGAATTGTGAATTTAACAAAAGGAATCGATGTGTATTTACATAGAGAAAACTTAATCAGCTGATGGTGATTTGTGTGTCATTTGAAATTTATATTTTTGCATTTTTTCCCTTGTCATAAATTTGTTGTGTGTAAGGGACTGCTTTGGGAGGTTCAAAAAAGAGTAAAAAGTGACAAAATAATACTAAAAATTAATTGCCTGTTAAACTTTTCCGTTTTAAGCACAACAAATCCCAGTTTTGGTTGAACTTTAAACTTCACTAAAAAAATAAATAAATATTTTACTCATAACGCTGCGAATTTTTTTTCACAGCCTTTTTCCGAATCCATTTTTTTCTCTGAAAGAAAAACACTAGCATACTTACGAATTTTTCAGGGCAGACAGAAATATATTAGCAGTTAAGAGCGATAAATTTAAATAATTTTTTCCCTTGATCAAACACTACGTGTAGTCCTATTTCAAACGAATGCGACTCACGTTTTGCAAAAAAGAAAACAGCTTATTACAAATACAGTGTCGTAAACAAATAAAATGCTGCATGTATAATACCTAGCTAAATTTCGCAAAATATAAAGAAACGACTTTATTTCAAATAATATTGTTGAACTTCGTACGTGTCTTTAATCTTTTTAAAGACACTTCTTAAACGCTGCACGTACGATATTTTGTGGAAACTTGCTACTGCAGCGGCTAAGCTTTTTTATTTTTAATTTTGGTTTTAGGAGCTTTTCAGATCACGTTACCTTTTCTATAAGAATTGATGATGTAATATCTAAGATTCTTGATGTGCTGCAAGAGAATAGCGCATTTTGCGTTATGTTGTGCAACCATAAGTCATTTTAAAATATGGAAGCTATTTACATGAAAGGCAATCATCTGAAACTAGTTATTAACTCTGTCGATTTATAAATGCTACCATATAAATTAATGTTTGCTTAGCGAGCAAAGAACTTTTGTCTCTTTTGTTTTTAGATTTCAAGTTCGATTCCCTACCTTTCGCCGTCTGAATAAATTTCTCATTTTCACTCACACTACTAACGCAAGTTTTGCAAACCACAAATCTTAACTTATGTTTTTCAAATCAATATCTAAAATAAATACACAACATTATGTCATCCATTTCCTGGCTCCTTAAATAAGGACATTGCAACGTTTATTTTTTCCTCCTACAATACTTTCTTTAATAAAGCAATTAAATATGAGTCAAATAAATTCAGTGCACTGAAAACAGCGTTAACTGTAAAACGAGTAAACAATGTGGTTGAATAATATTTATGGGCGTCTTCAGTAATAGAAAAGGTGGTGATTGTAGAGTGGAAAAACTGATGTGCATTCTAAGCGATTAAGGGGTGAATACGAAATATGGGCCAACTTTAAAGAAGTTGTTTGTTTTTTCTCTATCACATTGGTTGGGACTGTGGGGTTGTTTTATTGGGGAAGATTGGCGACGGTTACGTATTTTTTGCAAGTGGTACATTTTAAAGTTAATGACTTTTTGAAAAACAATTGCTTTACCATTTTTCTTTAAAACAAAGCAAATCACCAAGATTAAGCTAAGTATTATTTAGAGATGCATAGAAATATCTTTTTTTTTTAAATACATACTTAAAAGATTTTAATACAACGGAGGTAGCGTAAACTAAAGCAAGATATCCTTCTTTAAAAAAAATTACGTTTGCATTAAAATTTAATTTAATTTTAAAATGACGAAATAAGCTGGGCTGAGAGGGTTTGTTTGGTTGTTTTCAGTGAAATTAGGGAGTAGGTGTAAAAATTATTTATGACCGTACCTCCATATATTTGAAATTAGAACAGCTAAAATGTAAAGGTTGTTTTTTTTTTTCAGCGAACCTCAACTCCGGCCAAGTCGGGCGTTTACTAATCCGGCACTTTAACTCCAGTCCGGCAAATATATATTTGATTCTAATTATCTACTTACTTAGTCCGGAAACCCATTCAACTCATTTTGAATTAGGAAAGGAAGTAAAAATGATTTTAATAATTCAAACAACATTAGAATTAATTTAAATAGTCACAAAATTTTTCAGCAGCAAGTTGGTATAAATTATAAAGCATAATATTGTTATACTGTATTAAATTTACCTGAATCCAATTTTGCAAAGTCTTATTACCCAGACATGCAGCTTTTATTATACTCTACAATTTTTTTTACGATACGAACTTCCGCCATTGTCTTTACTTACTATATCTAAATTTGCTTCCTGCGCTATTTAGTTTCTCGTAATTATACAGGGTTATGATAAAAATAAAAGGCTCAGAATTTGTTTTTGAAAAAAAAAACATTGCAAAAACATGTCAAGCCATTTAATTTACCATACGTAAATGTAATAGTTACCCATGTTAAAAATAATTTTGAGGTCAAATTTTATTTTACCTCAGAATTAAGGCAAAATCATTTCTTTAATATGGGTAATTATTATACAGGGTTTTTTAAATTATTCTAAGGGCGTAGTTGACCATGGATTTCTAAATCCCGCTTTGCTGAAATTATGCCTCATTCTGACAGTTCTCACTTTTCATTAGTGCATTTGTAACCTGTCATTTAAAGTCGTCGTTTTTATTGTTTTAACGTTTTTTAAGTGTGAATTACAGTAATTCTCGCTGATCCAAGCTGAAAACAACAAAACAGTCCTTTTAAAAACTTCTGTTGGTTGCGTACGAAAATTTTGTTTTTGTACTAGGAAGCGAAGACTGTAAAATGGTTTATTCTCTTGAACAAGACATTTTCATGATTATGTATCGCTATCGCAATGGGACTTTGTAAACGAAGAGGTGTGTATTCTGTAACCGCTTGTAAGCAAGACTATCGGGCCAAATACCGTGATTTAATAATTCAAGAAACATCGTTAGAGGCTCACATTAGAGATGTTATCAACAGATTTGTTCGAACTGGCAGTGTCAACAAAGAAAAATCTCGTGGAAGATCTTCAGTATACGAGGAAGTTGATGATTTGAGACGACTTAATCAGAATCTGCAAACATCTTTGACACAATTTCCTCAGCAGTCAGGAGTTCCTGTTACAACATGAAATTGAACAGTGGGCATTGACGAAAGGATTGCAGAACATTTTTGAAATTAAAAAGAGAGTGAACATGTACCTTGAACAAAGTGGTGAACATTTTCAATATTTACTGTGATGTTTAATCGCAATAAATTTGTTTCTTTTTATTGTAATGAATAAGTTTTATTTTTTGAAAAGATATGAGGCAACCAGTTATACAGATGCTGTGATACTTGTCGTGCGTCCTTGGGCATTTAGTAAGGTCTAAAACTGAGAGGCGGCATGTGTTCATTACCTACTTGAACTCTATGATTATTTATAGAAACCCTGTATTTACGTATGGTAAACTTATATTTTTTTACAATGAAATTCAAAATATAAATAAAAAATGTCGTTTAATTTTGATTATTATTTTAATTATTTCTTCGTCTCTTAAGTTTCATATAAAATTTTGATAAATGTTCTAGAATCTTTTAAATCTTGATTCTTTTGCAAATTATAAAATTTGGTTTTGTAATATTTTATTGTGACAGCCTCTATACATTCAAAAGATTAGGTTACGCTTGAGAAGATTCCAGTGAAATTTCCTACTGGAAAATGATTCTACGCTCCCTCCCCTTGGAACCGCTACTTAAAACTTACGGATGAGTATTCCTATGATGCTGAATGTCATTGAAATGTCAAACCTATTGCACCACATGGTAACGGTAACGTTAACAAACAAAACGAAAGCAACTGAGATTGTTTTTCAACAAGACGAAGCTTCCCTGTATTATGCTAGACCAGTTCGAGAATTCCTAAATGACCGATATAAAACGGTAGATGGATAGGCCGTCACGGTCCTACGGAATGGTGTGTTCGTTTGGCGGATTTAACAACAATGGATTTTTTTCTAGGAAGTTACATAAAATCCAAAGTGTATACAACACCCCACATGTTGGAAGAATTGGGTCAAAGAATAAAACAAAATGTGCTAGTATTAATGCATAAACGTAAACTAGGTTACAAAACAGACACTTCACAGATTTTACTTCTGTCAAAAACTTCAAGGGGTCATTTTGAACATTTATTAAGATAAAACATATATTTTGTAAGTTTTCAATAAATGTTGGTTATTTTGTTTTGAATCGATGAATTTTCTGTTACACTTTGGTGTTTTGTTTAGAATAAAATAAGCTCTCAAAGCGGGAGCAGTTGACCTATAATTAAATTAATTATACTATTTAAGATTTTAATCTATATGTGTTTACATTTCAAGGTCAGAGTGTGTCACTGTGCTGACAATGATTACTCAACCATATCATTAAATTTCAAAGCTGCACCTACAGTACGTTATTGGCGTACTTGCACCGAATTGCAATAATTTATAAAGCTTCCTTCCTGTGGACAACGTATTCTACCTCTGCTGAATAAAAAATCACTAGTGAGTTATAATCCATTTTACTTATTCAAAGGTGGTTGAATAATGGGACCATTAATAGTTGATGTTGGATAAACGTTATTTTATCTCCTATTATGCAGGGTCGCTAGAATGTATGGAAACGGTTAAATATCTTGAGAACTAATTGTATAAGTCATGTGAAATTATGTATAGGGATACAAGAAGTCGTGCTCCAATTATTCGTCAAAAAACATTTTTTTGCTTCATTTCTTTTCGAGATGCAAGGTTAACTTGTTTTTTTTAATGACACTAAATAAAAAACTACTTAAAAAATTATCAACATGTTTATTTCTACTGATACAAAAAAACTGAAAAAAATTCACAAAAAACACCTAATATTGTAAAATCATTCATTATTCATTGAGACATTTTGTTGATCGACTATATCATTGCCAAATTGTAAACAGAAAACATTTTGAAAATTTATTGTAATCTCACTCATAGTTTATTACTTATTATTATTCGTTCACGATCTTTATATAGTAGGGTTGGCCATGAAAATCTAGTGAGTTTGTTGGTACTCGAGGCAGAAGAATAAAAATTCCCTGAACTTTTTTCGTTAGGTTATGTTTTATTGAAAGGTTAAAAAATATGCCAGTAATATAAACATAACATTGTTGCCGATACTTTCAGTTTTCAGTAGCAATGACCAAGTTAAGGGTATCCATTTCTTAGAAAGCATAATACTTTACGCTATTTAAAACAGTTGTTCGGCTTTTTGTAAGTGTTTATTTCATATGTAAGGAACAAACACTAAAATTTCACTTAAACATTGTTTTTATATGAATGTGGGTTCTACATACGACTATTGTCGCATGCCACATTTAGCATCTCATCTTTAATTCTCAATCATCAGTTCGTTCTGCTCGCCCACTCTTGTTAGAAATGGAAATTTCGACCTTTGTGAACAGTCTATTTCCATATATTCCAACTTCTTTTTTCACTTTTCTAAGATTACTAAATGGGTTGATAAAAGACAACAAGCTTACTCTAGTACTTTGATGGGTTTAGCTGAAACATTTTTCCGGCCTTAAATTGACCGATTTATCTATACAGCTATTACTAATGCTTACGTAAGTGCTCTTTATTTGCTTTTACTAAGTACTTCCAAACGCTTATTCATAAGAACGTTACTATACGCCTTCTCCAGGTCCATCAAGAGTTACACAAAAAAAAGAAAATGCTTAAAATTTGGTACAAAGTAACAACGTGTATGATCTAACTAAAATTATACTTATTTTGTTGTACGTCAGGTAGTTTTTCACATACTACATTGGTAAATTTAGAACGAAAGATGCGTAAAAATATCATCCCCCGACAAGCTACAATTCACTCCATTTCCATTATTTCGCTATGAAAATCTGTATCATCACCGTCATTTTCAAATTCAGATTCTGAATCAGATTCACCTAGCGAAATAATGAAAGGAAGTATACATTAGTACGAAAGATTTCCCATATTTTTTCCCAATCTGCCCATAAGTTTTTCACAATGTTTACAAAAATTTTGCCACATGCTTGGAGTACATTTAGAAGGCGCCTCAAGCCATAAATTCTCCACCCCATTTTTTAATGAAGGTTGAGAATTTATATGGTTGTTGCAATAGTTCTTACAAAATCCCTACGCCATTTCGATTGGATTATATTGACAATGGTACGGAGGTAATCTAAGAACTTCATGGATACTTTCTCTTAATGTCTCGTCTATCAAACATCTTTTTTTTTCTATTGTTTCTGAAGGGTTTAATTAAATCACACAACTGTTTCTTCGAAAATTTTTTATCAAATTCAACACTATGTTTAAAGTTGAGCCATTCCTGCATTTCACATTTTTCACTAGAAAAAGTGGGTGGTTTATCCAACTGAACCGAATGGGTGCATTGTGTAAAACCACCACAGATTTTTGGTTCAACTTTGCCAAAGCAGGAATGAGCTGATTAACCACTCAATTTTGAAAAATTGTCCCGTCCATCGTTTTATGATAGTCTCTATTGTTATTTTTTTAATTTAAAAAATTGTTACAAGCATCTAGGAACGCCGTTGAACAACCCGCGTGGAGAATAGTAAACCTTGATCCTTCACTTTTAATTTTGGTGGGATTGCTTTTTAGATCAGTATCGTGCACCCAGCGACGAATGGATGAACCATTTTGATAGATCCATGTTTCATCCAAATACACGAAAGTCAAATTTTCACAAGAATTTAGAAACTGTAAATATACGTTCTCAAAAAATAATTTTGGCTGCAACGACATGATTTTGTTCACATAGAATTTTGCGACCATTTACTTCCCTGTGTTTATAGCCCATTGACTTAAGAATTTTGTATAATGTGGTTCGCCCCCCCTTTAAATTCCAACTGTTCCCTAGAATATGCCAAAAGAGTATCTACAGTGAAATATTGGTTTGTTTCATTAAGTTGCCAAATTTGTCGTTCCAGGTCTTTCCGAAACATATAATTTGTAAATAAATCCGTTGGTTTTCGCTTGTTAGATAGTGATGTTTTTAAATTTTGGTCCCTGTTGATAAAATTTTCGCCACAGTTGATGTTCCCACCTATGAGAAAAAAAATTAAAAAATATTTTATGGCGTATTTTTACATTACAGAAAATATGTTCGAGACCCTCATAGTTACTTCTCCGAAAGAAAGATCGGGCCTGTCTTTTCGAAACTGCAAAAAACATCTTTTTATTGCAATTTTTTGTTGCAGTAAAACTGTTTTAGGCATTTCGTTTTTAAATAATGTCGCAATGATTTGTGAAGCTGTCACAATGACAAATTATTTATCTATGCTGACAAAATTAAAACATTTGTTTGCTGGATTAAAAAATTGCGTCTAATAATTTTGATCTAATAAATGAAGTAGAAAAGTGGCAATCCTGCTCAAAGCAAATGCCAATCAGACTACTGACAGACAAAAAACTAAATCCTCAAATCAGTTTATCCAACTTAAAGAAAAAATATCAAAGCCTACTTTACTATACAAAGATCGTGAATGGATAATATGTAGTATTTTTAAAAATGACGTGATTTTAAATATTAGGTGTTTTCTGTGAATTTTTTCTATTTCTTGTATCAATAGAAATAAACATGTTGATAATTTTTGAAATTAGTTTTTTATTCTGGATTAGAAGATATCAAAAACATCTGGGTGTTCCATTAAAAAAAAAGTAGGCGGCCTTGGGTGTCATACAGAAATCGATAAAAAAGGGAAAAACATGGTAATCAAGTCGCCATGTTTAACTATATATCCATCCCAAATTTCCAAAAAGAAGCTTTTTAAATAACAAAGTTATTCAATCGTTCCGGGACTTTATGCTAACACTGTATAAAGTTTTCTTCTATCTCGATAAACTTCTCCCATCTTTCCTTCAATTGCACCTTTCCATCAATAAATATTTTTTTCCGGTAGTTTGCAAAATAATAGTGAACAAGCACACTTGAACTCTTCATCTGCAGCGAGTTTTCTTCCTCTAAGATGTTTTTTCATGTTTTTGAGCACAAAATGGTCGCAGAATGCCAAATCAGGACTAGTTCGGCGAAATCACTGTGTATAGAAATAAGGGCAGTTTTCAATTAGAACCAATTTGAGTCGTTGTATTATTCTGTATCAGTTGTAGATCCTTTGGTCATATTATATTTAACTAGCAAAATTCCCCCGTTATCTCAGAAAATGGCAGCCCTTACTTTTACTCTAATGACTACGTTTTAGTTTTCTTCGATGGTAGTGAACCTTGATGTACCCAAGCATGGACTCTTGTTTAGTAGGTGGACGATGATAACCTTCACTGTCGCTTCCCAAGAACTCAAATGCTGTTGCGGAATTTCTTTCCTAAACAATTTCTGTTCAGGTGTAAGTCATGTAGAATTTTTCAGACTATTCTTTCGTAAGTCTACCATTAACAGTTTCTTTATTTCTTGCACATTTTCTGGTGTGCGCACCTCAACTGAACGCTCAAGTTTTGCATCATCTTGTATAGTCCCTGCCTTAACGAAAGTGTTAACACCAGAATTTAACTTTGTAATAACTTGGAGCATCTTGGCCATATAGAGCAATCAAACTTTATCACGTGTTAAGTTTCGTTCAATTTTCACAAAATAAATGTTTTGAAAATATTAATTGATGATCTAAATTGGAGCAAATTTGATCTGAAAGTCTACAAAAGACCGATCTACTTGACTGCTTAAATCACCCCCTTGTAATTCGTCCAAGAGCCCCGTTCAGAAAAAAATATTACTGCGGTTTTCTTGTCATACATAATTTGACGGTCCGCTAAAAGAATGTTGTGTGGTCATACATCATTTAAGAAACAATTAATAAAATATGTGTGACCTAGTTTCTTAACAATGTGTAGTTTTCAATCACATTCTACGCCAACGTGTATCGAATATCACTGGCCCTCATCATATCTGACTTGTTTCGTTCGGTTCATTCATAGCGGTGAGTTCGCGATCTCAGCGAAGAATATTTGAATGCATTTGGTGTGATAGAGTGTCCCTTTCATGCCTAGAAACTCATACAGTAGTCATTGTATATGCTGATTGTATGCACGAACATTTGTCTTCATAAAAGGAATTTTTATAGTTTTGCCAGTTCGATTCGATTTTTATGTAGGTATGGTAATACAAGAGACACGCGAGCATAAACCCAATGATCATTCTGTTTTATGCTTTCAGGTCTATTCAATATGGGCCAAAAGCACTCCAAACGTCCCAAGAAGCCAACATCTCAGCCGGAAGTGACTGAAATTATAGAACTGAATGATAATCAAAGCGAACTAGATGACGATAGCGAGATCGTTAGCGACCCTAGACAAACCGAACAGATCGTATATCCACTTGCATTAAAGCAAGTGATGGATTCCGTGGAGTTGATAGAAAAGTCCATTGATGTCATGACTTCTTCCCAAATGGATCTCTACTACGCCACTTTAAAAGACGACCTGCACAATTACTGGCGAAGAGCGTACGATCTGGCGGACAACGGGGACGCAGCCATCAAATCGAAAAAAATTGAAGCGATTGAACGCGTAAAAACCGCGCTGAAAAGACTGAACGGAAAAGTTTTAATGAACGGACATGCTGTGCATAATTAAATTTAATAAATTTTTTTGCGTTAGCGCTTGTGCGTATGTTGCGAAGATGGTCTGCCGCTGGATTTATTTTGGTCGATATTTTCGCTGCTCTCCCGATATTAATTCCTAATTAAACGTCAATTACTTTGATGAGGGTTAGTGAAAATTTCCTGGGGATATTAACAGAAATAAATAAGTTTTATATGGGACTTAATGAAGCAAGTTTCAATTATGTTCTTGTTTGCAACAAGAAACTATAATCCGGGAATCGCGCACGTAGGTACAAGCTGAAACACATCCAATCTAAATTATCGCATACGCTAGGATTCCCGGCTTAAGCAGCCCCGCCCTGTTTCAATTATCAACCACATGATTATTTACGTGGATTTTTCTCAGGGTATTAATCATTTCCTGCTGATTCCTCGCAAGACTTACAACTTCAAATAAATAATTCCTGCACGCATTATTTTGATTCATGTTACAAACTAAAATTGTTCGGAACTTCCCTGTATGATTAATGGGTCATCAAAAGCAGCACAATATGTGCATAAAATGGACGACAATGCATATTTAATATCGCAAGCTGGAACATTTTCATGTGGCCACTAAATGATGCAGGGTGTACTGGGTTTTTGTTTAAGAGCCAATATTTCGTATATTAGGCTATTAGTCGTGAATAATAATGATATCGATATGCAGCTAATCAGTAGTTCTCAAACTGTAGGGCGCTCTATAGCTTGACAGCGGTTGTCGAAAAAATGAACAAGACAAAAAACAGAAACACATTTTTTCGATTATTTAATAATATATTGTGCAACAAGTGCCTGAATATTTTGCACACAATACTTTTTCTACGATCTTACTTAGGGCACATTAAAAAAAAGTAGAATACATTAATGTATTCATTAATAGTACAATTTGTTAAGTTGCCAAACTCCACTTACTGAATCTGTTAATGATTTCTCTTTGTCGTTATTATTATTTGTTACAGTGGTATGAGCAATTTTATTTTGAATTGACTGTATTTGGTTTGCAATTTCAATTTTTATTGTTCAATGAATTTTCGAAGTAGTTTTTTGCAGTGGTAGATTTCCAGCCTCCGTGATTTTTCAAGGTAAGTAAACCTACTCCTGCTTCTACTAATAAAGTAGCAGACGAGCGTTTAAAAGAATAGTCCGTATTATTTCCGAATGGTTTTGAGGACAAATGAAGCATATTTTCTATAGAATTCCAAGTCTTTATTTACTGTGAATTTTCTTGTAATTTTATTTTAGGTGTCGCCGACATGCATTACAAGGATATTTTCTAGGTCTTCAATGTCGTTCGTTTTTAGTTTGCAAAGTTCAGCTCAACGAGCAAAAAATAAAAATGCCCTTACGTTGAAATCTTACATTAGTTAGTAAATATTTTTCATCAGATCCTCTTTTCAACTCTTTCTTAATTGTCCACAGTGATATTTTATGTTGTAAAACTGTTTAGGCATGTTAATTACTTGTGTTGTACCTGTTTTCAAAAACACAAGATTACTAGCACTCCGACACTGAATGACTGAAATAAAAGAACGAGAGAGAAAATTCAGGGACGGTCTTGGCATGGTAGGGTTTTTAAAGAAGTTTCCCGTATATTTATTAGATCAACATCCGATCGCAGTCTCAGTATATAACAAAACAAGTCTAAAAATAGAAAAAAAAATCGAAATCCCAATGCTCAGCATGTTGAGGCGTTTAAAAGACGAAATGGGCACTTAACACTTAGATTTTAGGCAGTTTACAAAAAAAAAATGCAAATATCATTTACTTCCACTTAAAGGTCATTTATAACCAAGTTCTTCTCTCCTTTTCTATTTGAAGTCTTTTCTATGTTTAAATTTTAAACCAGCTAGAGCAGAAAGACCAATTTTGCAAAGAAAACGACCAATTAGAACACAGTTCAGACCAGGAATTTGATAACGACTTAATAACAAAATTTTATTTTTCTGGGCTACTTGCAAAAAGTTCTACCAGTTGTTCTTCTTACAACGATTGGCCTGTAGATCTATTGTCAACAGGATAATTTATTACCCCATCAGACAAAACAGTGTCTTCTTTTACGAAAAAGTATTTGCGGAAATTAGTGTTCAAGTTCTCGAAATGATCCTCCTCTGACTTTAGCGACACTTTTTAGGTATTGTAAACGGGTCCATCGGGCGACTTACTACTTTCATGTTTGCTCGACGCTTCATGACCCCTAGAGTACAAAAAAGTAGTCTTCTCTTTCTATGTGGATTTTTTTTTGACAGATAATTTCAGAAAATTATTGGACCGATTGTTGTCAAATCTTGTGTGTACATTAGGATCGTTATGTAGATGGTAAAACGCTAATCAAAATTTGTCTAATCATCCCCACCAAGGATTTGATGACGTCATCTCAAAATTGTCTGTATTAAAATCATTTAAATATTATACAATAATATATTTTTATACTTGTGTACGAATCCGCTTTGAGTTTTTTCCCTGGACACCCAGTTTTTCATAAAAAAATCCAAATTTTACTATCACCTTTGATACTATACAGGTGTCCCAGTTAAAATTTCGTGGCCTAATATCTTGAGAACGGATGGATATATTGAAATTCTGTAAATGCTGTTGTGTTTAACTTGAAGGGGGAAGTTTAATTTAGTATATTGCAAATGCAACGCATAAGACCAATAAATTGCGATTGCATTGATATAAACACTTAAAGATATTTATTTAATTTTTTTGTCGATAAAAAATATAAAATTTATAAAAATAATAAAATGAAAGTTGAATGAAATTAAGTCTTCTTTAGGTTCTAAACCTCAAAACAGTTATCTTAGCATATGTTCGAACTGGGGTCCTTTACGTTGGACACAAAAGTTATATCTTCCCCATGGAGTGGGGCCTCTATTGACGATCCAGTTTTCATCATAAATGTTGTTTAAATAGTCAGGTACTACAATTGTTTCTCCTGGTCTCTAGAGGTTAATTTTCCAACAACAGTGGAAATTCTTCTTGAAGAAAGTGTAAATATCTTACGCCATTGAGTGTATTTTCGAAAAAATCTGGTCTTATTAAGTAACCGTTTATAAAATAGTTTGGTTCCTCGTTTCGTGTACCCAATTTGGATTAGTGTCTGACCAGTAGTGCGAATTGTGTCTGTAAAGCAGACCATTATTATGAAAACGACTTTCGTCACTCCACATGATTTTTTTCAAAAAAATATTGTCTTCTTCATATCATTCAGCATCAAACCACGCAATAAAATTAATGTTAGTCTTCTGCTTAAATCTGGAAATCGGTTTAAATAAAAAATAAACCAAAATTTACAATACCTGGCCGTAATTGCTGCACAAGATGATTTCTGTATGATTTTAATATATTTTCCTTTAAAATTCTTTAAATCGAGCTTTTTGAAATATCGCATTTTAATGCTAATTTTTAGGACGAAATTGATTAAAGATTAATTGTTTGTCAAGAAAGAAAAAAATACATCTGAAATCACTGCATTAGATTTTATAGCTGTTCAGGTTCACGACTGACAGTTCCACAAGAACGCAAATTGTGACTATTTTTTAACTTATGGGGTTTATCATAAAAAATAAAATTCACAAATTTAAATTTTATAATTTTATTATTTATTCACGTGTACTTCATGGATGATGGAAATTCTGTCGATATAACTTTAGATCCATGTTTTATGATTTTCTTCCTAGGGATAATTGTGGATTAATACAGACATCCTGCGAAGCACCTCAAAAAAGTTTTATTTTGTTTTTCGACAACTGTATTTTTTTGGGAAAGAAAGTGTTGATTCTTTCACTTAAATCAAATATACTCGTATTTGAATTTTTTCCTGTAGGGGAAGATGAAGTGAATTACGTTTTTCAAATAATACTCTTATCTAATAAGTAGGCGAGCTTTATTAAAAAAAAAAATACTGAATAGTTCAAGAATATATTTTATTTCTCAGTTCGTAGACGTGTGACAACCGTCTGGATGAAGAACAGAACATCAATGATATATGTCCAGCTTTCATATTTTTATAAAGAGTAGGAAAAATCCTTGATTTTAAATGTCCGGTTTTTATATACTTATACGTATATACATCAGGATCCTTCCTTGTCTGGGGGAGCAGAGTGTTCAATGATCAATACATCAGCATCTAACGCTTTCGATGCTAAATGGTCCCGATGAATTAGGCAGTGTGTCCAGAGTATTCCTGGACATTCCGTTTTCACAAGTGCTTGTAAACTGTTATATCTATTAGACATGGCTTGAACTCCATAGGTGCAAATTCCAGCAGTCTTTCTGCTACAAAGCTGTCCTGACAACGACATTATTTGTAAACCTTCTATAGGTTTTCAAAATACCAAGTTCTTCAGAACTTATAAAATTCGACCAAAATATCATTTCTAGCTAAAATCTGATGGTTTCCTTGGTATTTTGGGGGCTGTTGGGTATTTGATAGGCTTGATAATACAAGAAAATGCTTAAAAGTAACGTTGCTAAAGTTTTTTAACGAATTTTTTGAATCTACAAACGCCAGAACTTGAACAATTAACCCAGTCGTCTCGTTTTGGCAAATTAAGTCGATTCTGCATACCGCAAGTCCGTCATGTTGATCAGAATTGTCAAAACAAGTCGAAATATTCTTCAGAGACTATCCAATAGTCTCCTTTTGAACTATTATAGCAAACCAGATGAGAATAGTCGCTGCTCTGTATTATTTCATCAAACTCTATGGCAAATTGTTTTTCATTCAATTAAGTAATTTAGATTTAAGCTGTTGTTGAATATTCATAGATCTACTTATTTTTAATTCTTCTTCTATCGTTTGACAGAACAATATTGTTAAGCTGTTTAGGACTACTTTTACCAAACGTTTTTTGGCTATTCTATAAGCCACTTTATACAATTTCGATAAAGCTCTTTCATTCACTGTGAGAACTGTTGGAACTTTGACTTCTATTTCTCGAAGGATGTGAGTTTCTCTACAAAAATTCAGGATCGTAATCTTTGTGCAGGACTTCTAAATGTCTTTTCAA